GATAGATAGATAGATAGATTAGATGGAGATAGATAGGTAGTTCAATCAGGAGGTCTACTGGGAGTTGCAGTCCAAGAATAGGTAGATAAGGAAGGAAAGGGAGAAAGGGGAAGAGAAAGAAAAGGGGGGAGAGGAAGGGAAGAGGAAGAGAAGGATGGATGGATGAAAGGAGAGAAGGAGAGAAGGAAAGAAAAAAGGGGAAGAAAGGAAGGAAAGAGGGAGGGAAGGAAAGAAGGAGAGAAAGAAAGGAGAGAAAGAAAGGAGAGAAAGAAAGGAGAGCAAGAGGAAAGTTGGCCACAGCAATGTGTGGCGGTACAGGTAGTGATAATAAATATAAATAAATAAATAAATAAATAAATACATACATACATACATACATAAAAGTAGATTCCTTCTCTAGTGTTATTGGGAGGGATAGCCAATACTCCAGAAGACAGGAGCAGACTTCAAAACGGTCTTAACAGATTAGAGAGATGGGCCAATGCTAACAAAATGAAGTTCAACAGTGACAAATGCAAGATACTTCACTTAGGCAGAAAAAATGAAATACAAAGGGACAGAATGGGCGACGTGTAGCTCAAGAGCAGTACATGTAAAAAGGATCTTGGGGTCCTCCTGGACAACAAGTTAAACATGAGCCAACAATGTGATGTGGTAGCAAAAAAATGGGATGTTGGCCCGCATCAATAGGAGTCTAGTGTCTAGATCCAGGGAAGTCATGCTCCCCATGCCCTATTCTGCCTTGGTTAAACCACACCTGCAATATTGTGTCCAGTTCTGGGCACCACAATTGAAGAGAGATGTTGACAAGCTGGATTGTGTCCAGAGGAGGGCGACTCAAATGATCAAGGGTCTGGAAAAATAGCTCTATGAGGAGCGGCTTAAAGAGCTAGGCATGTTAAACACAAATTTCAAAATGACACCTCAAATGTACCTTTTGAATATGCCCGAGGAAGAATTAGAAAGAAAATTTGGAAAAATTTTGTTTTACACAACAGTGGCAGCTCGAATAGTATATGCTAGATATTGGAAAACCCCAGAGATACCTCCTTTAGAAGAATGGGGAAAATATATTATAGATATGCTGATAATGGACAAAATAACTGTATTATTAAGAGGAGAACTATTCTTTGTTAATGAATGGCAAACAATGATTCAACACCTTAATGTAAAATTAAACTAAAAATGTATATATAGGATCATATAAGATTGTAGAGAAGGAAGAAGCGGATGTAAAGTAAGAGTCTATGATATCTTTATATGTATTATTTAGATCAGGGGTTCTCAAACTTTTTAAACAGAAGGCCAGGCCATGTTCCCTCAAACTGTTGGAGGGCTGGATTATAATTTGAAAAAAGCATGCATGTATTCCTATGCACAGTGCACACATCTTATTTGTAGTGCAAAAAAACCACTTAAAAACAATACAATAATTAAAATGAAGAACAATTTTAACAAATATAAACTTATTAGTATTTCAATGGGAAGTGTGGGCCTGATGAGATAGGACTGTTGTTGCTGTTGTGTGCTTTCAAGTTAACCCGGAGCGAGGGCCAAGTAAATGACCTTGGAGGGCCATATCCGGCCCTCGGGCCTTAGTTTGAGGACCCCTGATTTAGATAGCAGACTGTGACCCCTTAATGGAAATATATTATCAGATAAATGATTATAGAACATTAATAGATAGAAAATATTGCACCATATGCAACAAACACTTACAAATGTATGACTACTTAAATAAAATAAAATAATTGAAAGAAAAAAAGAGCTAGGCATGTTTAGTCTGAAGAAGAGAAGGCTGAGAGGAGACATGATAGCCATTAGGGCTGGGCAGTTTCGTTTCGTTAATTCGTAAATAATTCGTTAATTTTTTTAATTACAAAACGATAACGAACCATTCTGGAGCAATTTTTAAAAAACGAATTTTTAAATAGTTTTGTAAATGCTTCGTATTTCGTTATTGTATTCGTTTAGTTATTGTTTTGAGGTCGTTTCGTTATTATTTCCGCATGTCTGGGGCAAGTTTTATGGTTGTTTTTTGTTTAATTAGTGAAAAAAAATTATAATATCACACCAACAGTCAACAACAGAGGGAGAGGGAAGCTTCAGAAGTTTTTGGAGGTTTTTTAGCGTATTTCGCGGTCGCGTCCGCCATTAACAAATCGATTCGTTATTGTTTCGGAAATCAATTTGTTAATGTTTTGTAATTTTTTTCACATTTACGAAATTTCGTAAATATCGAACTTTTTAAAAGGAAAAATTTGTAATTATTTTAAATAACGAAACGCAAAAAAACCCCCCCAAAAACGAATCAATTTTAGAAACAAATTTTTCCGTTGTTACCCAGACCTAATAGCCATGTATAAACTTGTCCGAACGGATTCTCCCCTATGAACCATCAAGGTTGTTAAGATCTTCTGGAGGGGCCTTGCTCTCAGTCCCACCACCCTCGCAATTGCGTCTGGTGGGGACAAGGGACAGGGCCTTCTCGTTGGTGGCCCCTCAGCTCTGGAACTCTCTCCCACTGGAGATTAGAACTGCCCCTTCTCTCCTGACTTTTAGAAAGCTGGTGAAAACTTGGCTTTGGAATATAGCTTTTGATGAGTGAGTCAATAACTCTTGACCACACGAACGGATGGTGTTAAATTGTGATTTCATTCTGACGACTTGGCCTTATGTAATCATATGTCTGTATTTTAATGTATTTTATGGATTAGTGTATTATGAAGTGTGATGTTTTTATACTATTCTTTATGAATCTCTTGTTGTGAACCGGCCTGAGTCCCTCTTCGGAGGTCGAGAAGACCGGGTTATAAAAGCTCTAAATAATAATAATAATAATAATAATAATAATAATAATAATGTAGAAATATGTGAGAGGAAGTCACAGGGAGGAGGGAGCAAGCTTGTTCTCTGCTGCCCTGAAGACTAGGATGCAATGGAGCAATGGCTTCAAAATACAAGAAAGGGAAATGTAAATCTCAGGAAGGCTCTTTTTACCATGTTTGGTGGTCTTGTCCAAAAACAAAAGAATATTGGAAAATTATTCACGTAGAATGTAAAAAAATCTTAAAGATAAATTTTCCCATGTGTCCAGAAGCTTATTTGTTAGGAATGTATGATGTAAATATTTTTTTGGATACTAACATGGAAAAGTTATTTACCTTTTTAGCAACAGCTGCTAGAATGACTTTTGCTAGTCTCTGGAAGCAAGACTCGACTCCCTCAAGAGCACAGTGGTTGGGGAAACTAATAGATATCAAAGAAATGGATGAATTGACAAAATAATGGAAAAGGGACAGCCAAGACGGACTGGAGGACATTTGAGAATTATATGGACAATGAACTTTAATGGGACAAAATAGTTAATTGACCTCGGAAAAGGAGAGAGAATGAATGTAATGAAAAAGATCAAGAAAAAAACCTTTGTTTAGAGAAGTGAAGGAAGATGAGTGGAAGTCAGTTTTAGTTAAATGTTGTCCTGATAGGGGGAGGGTTTTTTTTTCTTTTTTTTTTCCTTTCCTTTCTTTTCTCTTTTTCTCTTCTTCTTTTCATAGAGTCATATAATGATAGAATCAAAGAGTTGGAAGAGACCTCATGGGCCATCCAGTCCAACCCCATTCTGACAAGAAGCAGGAATATTGCATTCAAATCACCCCTGACAGATGGCCATCCAGCCTCTGTTTAAAAGCTTCCAAAGAAGGAGCATCCACCACACTCCGGGGCAGAGAGTTCCACTGCTGAACGGCTCTCACAGTCAGGAAGTTCTTCCTCATGTTCAGATGGAATCTCCTCTCTTGTAGTTTGAAGCCATTGTTTTGCGTCCTAGTCTCCAGGAAAGCAGAAAACAAGCTTGCTCCCTCCTCCCTGTGACTTCCTCTCACATATTTATACATGGCTATCATATCTCCTCTCAGCCTTCTCTTCTTCAGGCTAAACACCGCAATGAGTCGCCCTAGGGCTGAGAATTGCGGTATATAAGCGCAGTAAATAAATAAATAAACATGCCCAGTTCCTTAAGCCGCTCCTCATAGGGCTTGTTCTCCAGACCCTTGATCATTTTAGTTGCCCTCCTCTGGACACATTCCAGCTTGTCAATATCTCTCTTGAGTTGTGGTGCCCAGAATTGGACACAATATTCCAGGTGTGGTCTAACCAAGGCAGAATAGAGCATGGGGAGCATCACTTCCCTGGACTTAGACACTATGCTCCTATTGATGCAGGCCAAAATCCCATTGGCTTTTTTGCTGCTTTTTCTCCTTTTCTTGCTTTAGATTACAGCGTATGTGGACTTGTCGAATTTGTGTCAGTATTGTGTCATTAAGTGTTATTTTTTTCATTGTAAAATCAATAAAAATTATTTTTAAAAAACACAAGAAAGGAGGTTCAACTTGAACATTAGGAAGAACTTATGAGAGCCGTTCAGCAGTGGAACTCTCTGCCCTGGAGTGTGGTGGAGGCTCTTTCTTTGGAAGCTTTTAAACAGAGGCTGGATGGCCATCTGTCAGGGGTGCTTTGAATGCAATTTTCCTGCTTCTTGGCAGGGGGTTGGACTGGATGGCCCATGAGGTCTCTAGGATTCTATGCGATGAAGTAATAAGAGATTAGTACTCTTTTTCCCACAAAAGCCTTCTCAAGACCATACTGTATAGACCAGGCATGGGCCAACTTGGGCCTACCTTCCAAGGGTTTTGGACTTCAACTCCCACCATTCCTAAGAGCCTCAGGCCCTTTGCTTTTCACCCTCAGCCGCTTAAGCTGCAGAATTTGCTTAAGCGGCTGAGGGTGAAAAGCAAAGGGCCTGAGGCTCTTAGGAATGGTGGGAGTTGAAGTCCAAAACCCTTGGAAGGTAGGCCCAAGTTGGCCCATGCCTGGTCTATACTGTATACCCAGTCCTTCCCTTTTCCTTTCCCCACAAAGGCCTTAAGCTAATATCCCTCCCTCCCCTCCCTCCCTGAGATTCCAATATGGCTCCATCCACACCGGGTCTCTCCCCTCACCTGTTCGTCGAAGCGGCTGACCACGGCCTGCACCCACTCCACCGGCTTGTGGGCCGCCATGTCCCCTCTCAGGCCTGGTCCCTCCTCCTCCTCCTCTTCAGCTGCCTCCGCCGCTCCTTCGTCTGTTTCCCCTCGCCCTCCCTTCCTCCTCCTCAGCCATCACAGCCCACAGGCCACCATGACACCACACCGGAAGCGGGAACCCAAGTCCGCCCCCAACAACAGCCCGGGCGGGTGAGGGAAACGCGCATGCGCAGTCCCGGAGGGGAAGGGGGGAACATGCGCGCGCGGCGAGGAGGAAGGAGGTGGGGGAGGGAAGAAGGGGGAGAGCTGCGCCTGCGCAGATGGCAACTGAAAAAAAGCCCTCGGGAATAGGAAAGAGATGCGCATGCGCGTGCGAGTAAATGAGAGGCAATGGGCAGCAGGAAGGGATGGGAGAGGAAGGGGAGAGTCAGAGAGTTGGAAGAAGGGATCCCCAGGGGACATCTAGTCCAACCCCTTTATGCCAAGCAGGAAAAGCACAATCAAAGCACTTGCCGTGAGGGGTTCACCTGCCACATCATATATAATAACCATTCAGCCATGGATATAAATATATATATATATATATATGCATATATATCCACTATATATATATATGCATACAGATCTATCTACTATATATCCACTTTTTATATATATCTCACTATATAGCCATTATATATATATGCATACATATATATCCACTATATATATATATATATATATATCCATTATATATATATGTATCCATACATATATATCCACTATATATCCACTTTATATATATATATATATATATCACTATATATCCATTATATATATATATGCATACATATATATCCACTATATATCCACTATATATATATATATATATCACTATATATCCACTATATATATATATGCATACATATACATCCACTATATATCCACTATATATATATATATATATATATATCACTATATATCCACTATATATATATGCATACATATCCACTATATATATATGCATATATATGCATACATATCTATCCACTATATATCCACTACATATATATATATCACTATATATCCACTCTATCCACTATATATCCACTACATATATATATATATCACTATATATCCACTTTATATATATATATATATATATATATATATATATATATATACTATGTATCATATATATATATACTATGTATCATATATATATATATATGTATGTATGTATGCATACATATATATCCACTGGGTTAAAGCACTGAGCTGCTGAGCTTGTTGACCAAAAGGTCGCAGGTTCGATTCCAGGGAGCGGCGTGAGCTTCGCTGTCAGCCCCAGCTTCTGCCAACCTAGCAGTTCGAAAACATGCACATGTGAGTAGATCAATAGGTATTGCTCTGGCGGGAAGGTAACGGCACCCCATGCAGTCATGCTGGCCACATGATCTTATAGGTGTCTGTGGACAACACTGGCTCTTCGGCTTAGAAATGGAGATGAGCACCCCACCCCAGAGTCAGACATGACTGAACTTAATGTCAGGGGACAGCCTTTACCTTTATATATCCATTATATATATATATATATATATATATATATATATATATATATGCATACGTATATACCCACTATATATCCACTTTATGTATATATATAACTATATATCCATTATATATATGCGTGTATGTGCATACATATATATCCAGTATATATCCACTTCAAAATATACATGTCATAATAGTATATACACACACATATATATATATATATCTGTTTTTAAATATATATGTGTGTGTGTCATAATAGCTATATATATATATATATATATATATATATATATATATATAATTTATTTCTAACATTTTTATCCCACCCTTCTCAACCCCTGGGGAGACTTGCGCCACTATATATATGTGTGTGTGTCAAAATAGTAATGTATGTGTTTTTATATATATATAGTAAAGGTAAAGGTTTTCCCCTGACATGAAGTCCAGTCGTGTCCAACTCTGGGGGTTGGTGCTCATTTCCATTTCTAAGCTGAAGAGCCGGCGTTATCCGTAGACACCTCTAAGGTCATGTGGCCTGCATGACTCTATGGAGCGCTGTTTAAATATATATATATGTCATAATAGTTTTATATATATATATATATATATATATATATATATATATATATATAAACACCACTTTAAATGTGTCATAATAGTTATATAAATATATATATATCCACTTTAAATATATATATGTCATAATAGTAATTTATATATATATATATATCCACCACTACATATATATAACTATTTTAAATATATATATGTCATAATAGTAAAATATAAATGTATGTGTGTGTATATATATATATATATTCACTTTAAATATATAGATGTCATAATAGTAATTTATATGTATATATCCACTTTAAATATATGTCAAAATAATATATATATATATCCACATTAAACATATGTCATAATAGTAATTATATATATTTATAAAGCCACTTTATATATATATATATATATATATATATATATATATATATATATATATCTTACTTTACTTAGGCGATCCCTCGTAGTCCGAGAAGAGTGATATCCTGGGGGTGGATAGTAATTTATATATAGATATCCACATTAAATATATATATGCCATTATGTATATATTTATATATACACGAAATTACTATTGTGATATATATATATATATATACATATACACAAAGTATAGATGATATAGACTGGAGCCCCCGGTGACGCAGTGGGTTAAACCACTGAGCTGCTGAGCTTGTTGATCGAAAGGTCGCAGGTTCGATTCCGGGGAGCGGCGTGAGCTTCCGCTGTCAGCCCTAGCTTCTGCCAACCTAGCATTTTGAAAACATGGAAATGTGAGTAGATCAATAGGTACCGCTCCGGCGGGAAGGTAGCGGCGTTCCATGCAGTCATGCCGGCCACATGACCTTGGAGGTGTCTACGGACAACGCTGGCTCTTCGGCTTAGAAATGGAGATGAGCACCACACCCCAGAGGCAGACATGACTGGACTTAATGTCAGGGGACTACCTTTACCTTTACCTATACAAAATTACTATAATGCCATATATATGGCTGAATGATATCAATGATATGGCAGGTGAAGCCCTCCTGGCCTTTCCCTTTGTCGCCCTCTTGCGGACACAGGAATAGTTGCACTTGCCTTGAGATTTTGTCTGTAATCCTTTGCTGCCATCAAGTGGCCATATCGGGAAATGCACCTTCGAGTCGTGGAGGGCGCCTCCGTGCTGCCACCACGTGGACATTGTGGAAAACAGCACCTTATATTCTGTAATGTTCGTTTGTGGGATTAACATAACTCAAAAACCACTGGACGAATTAACACCAAATTTGGACACAATACATGTCTCAGGCCAACGAGTGACTATCACTCATAAAAACACTGAAAAACACAACAGAAAAGATTTTAAAAGCCAAAAAATAAATTAATAAAACATTAAAACACATGGGCATAAATACACATGTACACTTATATACACATATACACAAATATATACACACACATATACACACACAAAGCACATATACACAGACTGGGCCACAGCAATGTATGGCAGTTACTTTATAATATGGCACAACCTGGGGATCACAACTAGACACGGTGAAGACATCTGACCTTGCGCTTTGCTACTCTGCTGCTGAGTACGCATGCCCACATGATCGAATACAAAAGCCAGCATAATGATCTTGTTTGCTGTGTAGTAATCTCATTATGTATCACAACAACAACGAAACTTTATTATGCTGTGTCCAGGTTGGTTCATCGGGTGCTCTGCTATGGCTGACTTCTCTGATTGAATTAGTCTGCAGTGCCTCTTATGTTCCTTGAAGTCAGCCATATAGCAGAGCACCTGATGAACCAACCTGGACACAGGATATTATTTGAGAACACAGAAATGCTGGACTGCTCTCACAATCACCATGTCAGACTACACAAAGAAGTCACTGAAATCCACAAGCGTGTGGACAATCTCAATAGAAAGGAGGAAAGCATGAAAATGAACACAACCAGGCTACCAGTATTTAAAAACTCTAAAATCGGGACAATAAATAAATAGGAGCATTCAGAAAACAGGGGAATTCCAGACAGGAAACAATCAGGGCCAACTAACACCTCCCAACAAAGGATTCTCCCAGGAAGCAACCAGCCAGACTTTGAAACTACAAGGCCATTAAATGCTAATCAAGGTGGCTAATGGCAACATTCTCACTTGCCTCCAGCAGACCAGAGTTCTTTCTGCCACCCTGGCAGAGACGGCCCTAGGTAATTTTCAACAGTAAGCAAACAGTATTTTGGTGCCCCCCCCCCCACCAATCATTGATATGGAGCTGGAAATAGAGGGGCTAGGCGAGGCTCAAGGGCCCGGCCCCTTTGGGAAGAGGATTGCCCAGCAGTGAAGCAAGGAAGCCAAGGCTCTCCCCGAACTGCTAGGGCTGTTGTGAGCCGAGGGGGTGCTCCTCAAGTGCCGGTCGAGGGCATTTACAGAGGCACCTCTGCGCCCCTGGGGAAAAAAGTGCACCGCAACCACTTACTTTGCGTAATGGATGAGCCGCGCCTGTACCCTGGACATCATTCCACAGATTGCCTAGTTTCCAACAGACCTCCCAACCTCTGAGGATGCCTGCTGTAGGTGTGGGTGAAACATCAGGAGAGAATGCTTCTGGAACATGGCCAGACAGCCCGGAAAACTCACAGCAACCCAGACAACAGTTCTTCCTCCCATGCTGGACATCCCACAGATATATCAACCCCACTTGCATAGTTTCCAAAACAAAATCTGAGGATGCCTGCCATAGATGTGGGAGAAACGTCAGGAGGGAATGCTTCTGGAACATGGCCAGACAGCCCGGAAAACTCACAACAACCCAGACAAGAGTTCTTTCTCCCATACTGGACATCCCACAGATATATCAACCCCACTTGCCTAGTTTCCAACAGACCTCACAACCTCGGAGGATGCCTGCTGTAGATGTGGGTGAAACGTCAGGAGAGAATGCTTCTGGAACATGACCAGACAGCCTAGAACAATCACAGCAACACATTGGGTTTATAGCTTCTTGGTCTCACCAGATCCTCAAGCGGTCAGCTTCCAATACCAGCGAACTGCTTAATGAAACTCGGTATCTGTGCTTTGGTTTCCGCTATCCGCAGTCCAGATTTCACTATCTGTAACCATTAAATCT